GATTGATTAACAGATAAAGTTATTATTAAGAGCATTATACATTATTATATTGGCTTCATCATTATCTTATGCTATTTCATGTCATACATTATTACATGCTATTCAGGATCAGTATATGCCACTGAAAATTCATTAAACAGGTGGAGAAAGTAGGAAACATGGCTACAATTAAAAAGAGCCTGTCGCAAATTCAAACAACCTCTCAAAGAAGAGGATCAACCGAAGATTCGGTGAAAGTCACTGACCCCATAATCATGTCATTAGATGAAGTGCACAGGTTAAGATAAGAAGTGAAAGAAAATAGATTGGAAATGAGAGAAGATTTAAGAGAATCAAATCAAGAAATAAGGGAAGAGATTAAAGAAGCAAGATAAGAAAAGATCTTAAAAGAAAATTAGATAATATTAGTAAGAAAATGGAAAAAAATGTCACAAGTAATCAATGAGACACAAAAAGAAGTGGAGAAAATAAAAATGAAAACAGATACATTGGAACAATCGGTAAAAGAAACAACGATAAGACAAGAACAACAACAAATCCATGAATGGAGCAATGAGCTCAGAAACAGGAAAAAATGCATCAAAATAAGAGGACTGACAGAAAAACAAAACGAGGACTTAATAAACAGAATAATACCAACCCTAGCAAATTATATAGGACAATCAGAGGAAACATTAGAACAAGAAGTTGACAAGATCTTCAGGATCAACTCCTCACAAGCTAAAGACAAAAAAGTCCCATGAGACATGATGGTATGCTTCATCAGATCAAGAATAATATATACAATTATAAAGAAAAATTATGAGACAAGACTAATAATAAAGGCAAATGAAAGCAGGCTGTCTATATCCCTGGCTGGATGAGCAAACCTGCACCAAAATGTGTATTGCCCTAATCCAAGTGGAAGGAATGATCACTAATAGTCCTTAGCCATTCTGAAAATGTATGGCAATGCCAATTATAATGGGAATATACCAAGAGTTTTATGTCTTCCTATGCATATCAGCCAGAGAGCTGAGCTGTGTGAGAAGAGCTCTCATCTGAGTCCCACCAGAGTGGGCAATACATCATGGGAAGAAATGGGGAGGGCCTTCTTGGCTGTGGCGCCCAATTGTTGTATGCTTTCCACTTGGCACCAATGTTAGTTTCTTTCCAGAGCCAAATCAAGTCATGACATGTCTTTCTTTTAAAGCCTTTGAAACATTGGCCTGAAACAGACAGGCATGAAAGAGCAGTTCAAGCCTGTTCTGGCCACAAATGGGTTGGAACCCCACTGTCCACAAGGTACACTCCCATGGCAGGTCATGGACACAGGGGCTGACCAGCACCACCAGGAGTCGGATTATCCTGGCCCCTTTTTGCTCCAGTCTTAAGGACCAGAGTGTGGCTTTGGTATCATTTAATCAGCATGCCTCCAAAGTGGCCTAAAGCCACTTCATTTGGCCTGTCTGTTTCAACCCATAATTGACTTTTAAATGCACATGTGCATGATTTTTAACTTTTCACCTAGCTTTTAACTTTATATTTATTTAAGGTGTTTTAATGTGCTGCCTTATTTAAGATGTTTTCATCCTATTTAAACTATTGTATTGTTTTAATGTGGAACTGTTTAAACTGTTTATTGTTTTATCTGTATGCTACTCTGAAATCCCACAACAAAAGGAAAGATACAAACATTTTAATAAATAAGTAAAAATAATGTATCTGTGTCATAGAGAAGGTAATATGACAGTTAGTATTCCATATTCTTGATTGTGCACCTCAGGTCTCATGACCTGGGGTGATGGTGGCAACCACTGTTTGTCCATGAAGCTTAGGCATCTATTTACAGATATAGGAAAGTGGCAGAACAAAAGACCCCAAGGGAGACAGTCATGCCATATTCCCCAAGATAACATC